CCAAAACGGTCATGCCACAATTGAACAGTTTGTGACGAAAAATCATAACGACAACTACTAGGTAAAATACTAGCATGCAAGCTAGGAACAGAAAAAGACAAAGCAGGTGCATGTGAAGGAATTGGTGAAACTGGAGATGGATTGCCAAGATAATACAGTCCATCTTTCTCATGTCCCTTGATAATAATCCTCCTGGTACTCAGGTCCTGCAAATAACACGAATCAGATAAGAATACAACCGCACAGTGAAAATCTCTGGCTAACTGATGTACAGATAATAGATTCATGGCCAACTTTGGTGCATGAAAAACTGAATGTAATGTAAGGCCATCTGGGAGACGGACTGTACCCCTACTAACAATAGGGGCATGTGTTCCATCTGCTAACTGAACCTGTGTATGTAACGGCTCGTCAAAAGTGGTGAAGTGATGGGCCTCACCTGTCATGTGACCATTCGCACCCGAGTCCAACATCCAAAGGGGAGATGAACTGGCACAAGCGTGAAAGGCACGAGATATACCTGTAGTGGTGACAGCAGCAGTAGTCAGACTCTGAGAAGTCAGAGCAGACATAAGTATATCTAATCGGGAAGTGATAGCATCCATATCACTTTGCCAAGGAGGAGCAGTAGCAGGAGTGGCGGTAGTGGGCGGTGGTACCTCAGCAATAGCAACAGTACGGCTGCGAGAAGGTGACTTAAGCTCTGGATGGAGCTTCCAGCAAGTAGCCCTGAGATGTCCTGGTCGGCCACAATAATCACATTGACGGGAATCCCCCCGTCTACGCTGATCTGGGGCGCCCTGACGGCGCTGGTCTGAGCGTTGCCTATCCCTGACTAAGGATCCTGAACGGGACCCTACAGCAGCTGCAAGGGCCATCTGGTCAATCGAAGGAGGCAAAGCTGCAACTGGAAGTGATGCAATACGGACTCGACGCTCATGCTGCTCAATCATCCCATACACCTCATAAAGAGAAGGAAGTGTCAACATCGATAAGATCTGAGAACGAGGTCCCTCAAACTCATCACGAAGCCCCATAAGGAACTTGTGAATCCTATCCTCCTGCTCTCGAGTATGCAAGAATGTGCTCCCTCGGGCTCTATCTTCGGAATAGCAGCAAGAGGACGTAGAGACTCATACTCAAGCCAGCGCTGGGTCAAATAGCCATAATAATCCTGAACGGTCATATCTCCCTGCCGAGCATATGAGAGCTCCTGAGAAAGCTCATAAACACGAACTCCCCGTCCTGACTGAGAATACATCTCTGATAATGCGCTCCATAGCTTCGGAACAGAGCTATGAAACTGGTGGATCTGCAAACAGAGGGCTCCATTGAGCCAAATAACCATCCAAGAATGGCACAGTTTTCAGAGAACCATGCAGAATATCCAGGGTCGGCATCAGCTGGCTTTGGGTAAGATCCCGTCAGCCAACCAAGCTTCCCTACACGGCCTAAGAAAAGGTGGAATGAGCGTGACCACTCAGCGAAGTTACGACCATTTAACAATTGTGCCGTAACTTTTTGAGAGATCATGCCCGGTAATGCTGGTAATGCAACTGTGCTAGTAGGCACTGTATACTGGTCAAACATAAAAGTGGAAGTACCCATAGATGTCTCAACGGTAGAGATGTCAACAGTAGGGTTCTCAAGTCCCTCAGTAGTAGCCATATCAACAACAATACTAGGGCACCCGTGACAGAAAAATAACTCTAAGATAAATAGAGGAATAAAATAAGGGAGAACAATATACCTTCAGTCGAACAGTAGCGACAAAAAGGGAAGGTCCAAAAAGCTCCCAAATAATCAAGTCACGGTGCCCAGAAATCCAAAATATATAAATAAGTGATCTACTGCATCAAGGACAGATCAACAGAAAAGAGGATCCGCTCCCTCCCAAAAAAGTCCTAGAATAAAATCACAACCCCTCTTAAAGGTCTTATGGTCCCAAATAATCAAGTGCACAAAAAACAACACAAAACTATGAGTTTAATGAACAGTGGGCTGGTTGAAATAAATAAGTGATCTATATATTGTTTGGTATAAATAAGTGGGCAGCCAGTCGGGTTGTCGGTGGCTGCGAGAGGTTGGGCATTCGGCTGGTCTGGAGTGGATTTGTCGGTGGGTATTGTTGGGCATTCGGCTGGTCTGTTGTTCGGCTGGGTCTTGGTGGCTGGTCTGGAGTGGATTTGTCGGTGGGTATTGGTGGCTGGGTCTTGGTGGCCGTTTATTTTTCAGTCGGTGCTTTGCTGCGGCAGTCGGTTGTGGTAGCTGAGGGACTGGGGGCTGTTGCAGAAGGTAGTCGGTGGGGTTTCGGTTTCAGTCGGTGTGGCAGGTCGGGTGGCCTGGGTGTGTCGCTGGAGGTTGGACTGGGTCTGTTTTTCGGTGGGACTGGGCAGAAGGTAGTCGGTGGAGTTTCGGTTTCAGTCGGTGCTTTGCTGCGGCAGTCGGTTGTGGTAGCTGAGGGACTGGGGGCTGTTGCAGAAGGTAGTCGGTGGGATGGTGGCTGCTGGGAAGGTGATGAAGGCTAGGGTTAAGGTTAGGGTCAGGCTTAGAGATGGAGGCTAGGGTTTTGGCTCTGATACCAACTTGGAATATGTGAAAGGGATACTCAAACTCAAAGTAGAGTCCCGTATATATAGCCAAAAATAATACAGAGTGACTTAAACATCCTTGTTGTTTAGGCAAAATATAAAAATCTAGTAAGGGTAAAAAACAGAAAAGAAATCCTAATAAACCTAGACTACTATCTATACTCCAACAGTCTCTAATCTAGACACAACGATTCGAAGCGAACCCAATAAATTTTTCAACACTAACATCTTCATAATGATATGTGGGGTTCAAGTAATAAGCTACACAACATACTCTTTATGAGCTAACTTGTGTCATATCCAAAATTATAACACTTATAAATAATAAAAATAAAAATAAATAATATTAAACAATAAGTTTACTTGCCATATGAATATGGTAAAAATGACCTTAAGCTTTGCTTGGTGGAATATTCTCATAATAAAATACTTTGCAATAGTAAGTTTTGTCGACTTAGCCCATTTTTTGGGATTCTACATTTGAGTTAACTTAGTTTGCTTGATTTTCTTATTTTGATTCATTGAAGGATCCATCTCTTATATCGTGAGATATTTTCCTTCGACCATCAGTTTTTGTGATTTTTTTAAAAATTTATCCCAAGTTTTCTTCACACTATGTAGACACGTCAAACCTCTAGATGTACCAACCTTTTTGGATAGATGTTCTGGAACTTCCAATTCTAAAAGCCCTGCTCGGCCATATGTATGTCATGAATAGATTGTTGTTTTGTATACTCAATATCATCTCTCTTCTATATCCATACCATTATATGAATACTCATTACAAGAATAAATTTTGATACCATTTCTTCATCTTGATCCACCAATTAAATTGTTTTGCTTTTCTTCGTTCATTAGTCATTTTGGTACTTTCATTCTTGTTAGGATTCAAGTAATCTCTCATAGCTCTTGAAATTTCTAAAAGACACTTTTCAAATTGTTCTACATTATTATAATCGCCAGTTAAGTGTTGTTTTAAACGTGAGACACTGTCATAATTCATTATTTTATAGCAAAAATTGCACATCACATATCGGTTATCCCCAATTCACTCACTATAATTTCATCTAATATCACATTCTTTTTTCTTTTTTTGGGTTGATTCAATAATCACATTCTTTCCCTTGGATGTCATATTTACAATAAATACATTACATTATCAAACACTATTTTTATATTGCAAATTAAATTTGACATGTATAGCATTTTTAAATTAAAATGTTATCAAATTAATAATACTAATTTACAAATTAATAATACTAACTTTTATTCTTGTAGCATACTATTATAATACTAATTTACTAATTTAAATTGTGTCATCAAATTAATAAGTAATATTATTTCATTAATATAAAAATCATTACATAAACAATTTTTACACACATATAAACTTGATTCTAGATATTTAACAAACAAGGTATATACTATAAAATAAATTACAACTATTTAATATACCAATTTAACTAATAGTAATAACATTCAATAACAATTAGAAAAAAGAAAAAAAGGTGAGCATTATTAGATGGGTTCTTTGATAAAAGAAAAGGGGGGCACTAAATTAAGTATAACTTATAAACTTAAAAAAAAACAAAGAAAAAAGGGGGAAAAAAAATTCTGATGGTATTGCAAAGTCGAAAGTCTTTAGGGGCCTAAATATGTAAGTGAATTTTTTCAGGTATTTCTTAGGTATTGAAGTTGTTAGGTCTAAGCGGGGTATTTGTATGTCTTAGAGAAAATGTGTTTAACATGTTAGCGGAAGCAGGTTTATTAGGTAGTAGACCAATTCATGTTCCTATGGATCCAAACCAGAAGTTTAAGATACCAGAGTAAAAGGTTCAGAGTTATGTTGGCCCCATATGTATTTGATTTGTTCAAGTTAGATTAGATTGAAATGCAATAGTACTGTTAAAATGTAACATCACTGGAAGTAGTAGAAAAGTCAATAAATTTAGACATCCTAGATATTAACAAAGTTTCTAGAACGACTTGACAGTGTTTGAACTTTTGCTGATGACTCTTTTGACCCCTTTACTTTGATAGTGGAAATTCCACTATAAGTTTCTTGTGGAATCTTATGTATCAATGATTGATCATTTCTATGGAAATAATGATTTCTTCTCCCAAAAGAATGTTGGTTTTTCAAATTTCAAAATGTTTTATATTTAAGTTTTAGTAGGAAAGATGGGAGATAGAGTTGGGAGGAAAGAATGATGCCTTCTCCTCAAAGAATGTCGCATTATCAAATTGAAAATGTATTATACTTGGGTGTTTGCACTTGGTAGGACAGCCTATGGGAGATAAATTTAGGAGCACACATGAATGTTCTTTGTTTTTTCTGTTTATTTTTTATTCTTTTCATGAAGTTTAAAAATGTCGAAGGCTAGATCCAAATTGGCTCACCAAAAAGTTATGTTGGCTATTTACCATAGGGAACTGTACTTTTTCTAACCGTGGGTCCAATTGTGTAATAGTTTTCCAAATAGTTCGATAAGCCATAGTTTTTCAAATTGTTGCTCAAACACATGAACTGCAGATAGGTGAAATAGAAAATACATGGACCAGTTGGAGAATGTTTGGTCTGGTTTATGTTGATTTATCTTCTAGATAATGAGATTGAGTTTCTCAGAACTGTGTCTTTTTTTTCAGGCCGGTGACAAATTTCGATGAGATTGCATTCCACTTCATTGAGTGCATACATTTCCATGTGCAACATTCTAGAATGCAGGTACTTTTTTGTCCAGTGCTGTTGCATTTATTATGCTCTAAAATCTAAATTGACCACACATTCTATAGCTCGCTGACAGATTTATGATATGCATCTGTTAATATTTTTACTAAGGACCAAAATTTATGATATTTGTCCAGTACTGTTGTATATATTATGCTCTAAAATCTAAATTTACTACACATTCTATAGCTCGCTGACAGATTTATGATATGCATCTGTTAAAATTATTACTGAGGACCAAAATTTTGTTATTATCATACATGGTAATGTGTCCTTAAATGAACGTATTGTATTGCTTGAAGCAGAAAGGGGATACTTTGGTTCAGCCTGAGACAAGAAATCCATCTTTGGACGCACCTACACCCAACGGGTTCAATGGGAGTCAGACATCCCTATCAAATCAAGTATGGAACCAAATGTGTAACTTAATTTTCTTCTGTAGATATCTTGTTCCATGTGTGTAAACAATGTACTGTGTTTTCTCTAGTTCTCTGGGCAATTTAGTGTTGATGGACTTAAAGGATTGGATCAGATGGTCCTTGCATATCTGCAGCAACCTTCAAATTTGTAAGTCATGTGTTAACCTATGCCTTCGATAATTTTTTTTCTTGTCACTGGTGTAATTTCTGCTTACATCAGTTTGCGCAATTTTATTTTCTCTGCATTCATCTATAATACATGGCTACCTTGAAGAATCAACATTAAGCTCTAGAATCATGGTTCTGATAAAAAGTTCCTCCTTTAGATAGTCTTATGTTTGATTTATCTTCTGTTTTCTTTTGCCATCGATTCATTGTGAACAATTGATGTTTGCAGTGGACTTGAGAAGGGAGTACACAGGGATGAACTTGCCCAAAAGTTAAAAATTCATGTGGAGAAGATCATGTACTCTCTCAATCTCTGTATCTCTCTTTCCCTGTGGGTGCTGTCATTTATTTATATGTCCTCTTTGTCTATGGCAGGGAATCAATTAGAGTTCTCGAGGAGGAAGGCTTGATATACTCAACAATTGATGAATTTCATTACAAGTCGACTGTAGGCGGCTGATCTATAGATTTGTTCCGATAAGAGATTGTTATGAAACGCATTTGTTTTGTTTCTAGCTTGTAAAAAGGTTGATGATAATTTATGCTTTACTCATAAAACACTACCAGAACGCCAGTACCAAGTAGTATCGCTGCCCTTTTTTCAGAAACAATTCACGTAATCATCAGTCTCTTGCCATTTGATGCTTAGTAGCTTCGTCTTGATCATGAGCACATTATATAAAGGCATTTAATTTCGCTTAGTGTTCCAGTTCCAATTTAATTCATCAGATACTCTAATTTGAGCATACCCACCCCCCCACCCCCCTCCGCCCCCCCCCCCCCCCAAAAAAAAAAAACAAAAACCCCAAAAAAATCTCTGCTGTGGTGAGCACGTTTTTGTCCAAATTAATTGGATAGTTAGTCGGGTAGAAAATTTGGTAACATGTTTTGTAGTTATTAATTTTTGGATCAATAATTCAATTAAGTATTATGTATCAATTTAATAACATAATAAATTAATAACGCTAAAACCTAAAATAATTATAATAAAATACAAGAAAGTTTAAGACAAATATCAATCTTTCATAATTGTTGTTCAAATATATTAACAATTATTTTAGTCTTAAACTATATGAAATATTAAAATTATAATTGTTCCAATAGATTTTTACAAATCATGTAATTTGCATCAAAAATAAGTCGATGGTTTAGTAACTCAAACATCCATACCAATAACAACATTATAAGTTATACCACACAAATAATCTTATAATTATTCTAAATATAGAAAAGTTAAATAGTATATTTCGTGCTAGTCATTCAAGAGCAATTGCAATTTTCTTTGCAATTATTTCAAAGATAAAAAAGAGTAAGAAAAAAATTAGAAACGAAGAATTCATCAACAAATAATAAAATAAGTAACAATAAAAATATAAAAACCTAAATCTAGTTTATAACTTTTTGAATCCTCCAACACATATTCAAAGTCATAAGCATTGGATGACGATCGAAACCAATTTTGTGCATATATGAGACCCTCAACTGTTTTGGGTGCCAGGTAACTTTGAAAAATATCTAAAATACGACCCCCAGTGTTAAAAGTCAATTCTGATGCCATCGCAGAAATGCGAATAGCTAACACATCACGAACTATTTGGGTAAGGATCAAGAATTTAAAAGTAACAATACAAATCTAAAAACCTGAATCTAGTTTATAGTTTTTTGAATCTTCCAAAACATATTCAAAGTCATAAGCAATGGATAATGATCGAAGCCAATTTTGTGCATATATGAGACCCTCAACTGTTTTGGGTGTTAGGCAACAAAAAGTATCTAAAATACGACCTCCAGTGCTAAAAGTCAATTCTGATGCCACCACAGAAATGAGAATAGCTAACACATCACGAGCTATCTGGGCAAGGATCAAGAATTTAGAAGAATTAACCTTCCACCAATCCAAAATATCAAAATTGACAGTAGCTAATTTAACATCCTTCATCAAATATTGATCTTACTCTGCTTTGTTCTCTATATTGTCTCACTCAACTCTATACTTGTGGTACCTATTCATGAAATTTGTAGGTACTTGATTTTGAGTAGACATATTAGTCGAAAACACATTTTTCTCATGGTCAACACTTGACCGCACTCCATACCCCACAATAAATCTAGTGTACTGTTGGCATAACCAGTCAATGACCCTTTTAATCTTTTCAACTAGTTGAACCTTAACTACTTTATCCTTAGCCTTATAATTGTCATTGAGCCAAAATTTTAAAGCATCTAATTTATAGTGTGGTTCAAGGACAATAACAACAAACAACAAACAACAAACAACATCAAATTACTATTATTTAAATGACCCCATTACTTATCATACTTGTTTTTCATTCTCATAGTCATGGTATTCAAAAGATAGTCATCATCTTCACAATAACCTTGCAAATGTTCATATACAGTATAAAGTTCTTGGAAAAACAAGTTAGATGTGATATACAATGATCCAAAAGTGCGCAAAGTGACTTTTTAGAAAAATTTTAAAAACTTCATAAACACAGGAACAATGTCCCAATCATCAAATGTAGGTGGCCCTAAACCACCCCCTCACTCAATTGACTTACAAATTGGCCACCATCTTCTAGCAATAAACCAAACGCACCTTGATAATACTCAACAACTTTGAGCATCAAATATGTAGAGTTCCATCTTGTTGGAACATCAAGGCAAATAAGACCATTTTCACCAATTTTTGCCTCTCAACACATGACTTAAACTTGTTAAGCCTTGAAAGAAAAGACTTCACATATTTAACAGCATTTCGTACCTTAAAAATTTGACGTGTTCATTTCCAATTGTCACACCCTTATGATTAGAAACTTTCATAAAATTGATTATTCGTTTGTGTAACTTCAATCCTTATCAATTGAATGCATAGTTAAGGACATACGTTAGATTCAGGTTGATATCAAACACCAAGTAGGTGGGTGATAAGTGGGTTCGGTATTGTTGGACCAAGGTCCGATAGAGTCGCATGGCATGAAAAACTTGTGTTGGGTATAGCAAAAAGGGCTAGACATGTCCTCGGGTGCAAGACCCGACTATTAGTTTTATACACTTCCTATGGTGCAAGTCCAAAAAAGTGTATCGGTTGGCGGAGCTGGTGGTGCGACACCAAAAGTCCGCTACCCAAACAAAGACACATGGTTTTATTATCTAATGATTTCATTTGATGGGAAACATCCATGGATGAAGTGGTTTTGTAAATATATAGTTGGTGTGTTAAAGATGATCATTGGATGCATTTCATTAATGATAAAGGTTTCACACTTGCATTGCATAGTGTGGTGAGAGCCGGTGAGGGCTCGGTTGATGTGCGTGAGTCAGTCTCATCTCATTTCATGGCATGACATGATAGATTTCAATATGAATTGTTTATTCTTGCATTAGGATGAATTTTGGTTGTGTGTTGTTTGCATGTATACATTCATATGCACTTAGGTGGGGAGTAGCCCTTGTAGGAAATATTCTATTGGGCGTTGGCTCACCCTATACGGGAAACATTTCAGGTGCAAGATTTGTACTAGGAGAGGACTCGCATTCGGGACCTCGAGGGTGAAGAAAAGCCGGTTGTGGCTTTTGGAAACAAGTTTTGTAAAACTTTGGTTAAATGCCGTTTTGACATGTAAATTATGTAAATGCATGTAATAGAACTTGTATGGATCATGTATAATGTAGAAAATGTTATTATACATGTCGGGATGGATTTGGAAAGGTTTGGGATGAATTGGAAATCGAAAACTGATGAAACATAAAATTCTAGACAACACCTATCGGTAGCTAACAGGTAGTACCTATCCAGTAGGTAATAATTATCGGTAGCTAACAGGTAGTACCCGTCCAGCAGACAAAACCTACCGGTAGCTAACAGGTAGTACCTGTCCAGTAGAAAAAAGCTACTGGTTGCTTTCAGGTAGAACTTCTACCGGTAGGTCTAACAAACACCTACCGGTAGCTCTTCCAAAAATCTGAAATTTTAAGAGTGTATTGCCATACTCTTGGGCTATGTGTTCTTTGGTTCCAATGACACAAATAGACCATAAATAAGATACATTGGGGGTATGTTGAACCTCAATGGAATCAAATGAATTAAAGGAAACACGGATCCTCGTGTGAGTTGTAATCCCGGTTACAGGGATGTGATAAACGTGATGTCGTGTTATACCACAATCATAGGTATTTCTGCGGGTTGACGGATGGTCAACGTTTTAGGGGCGTCACAACCAATGTTATATATTTTCTTGGTTAGATATTGGGATATATCACAAGAATTATGTAACATGTAAGATATCAATGATTCATCATCTGACGAAGGTGAACAAGATAAGGATATAGCCTGCTCATCCCATTGTTAATCACAAGCTAATTATTATAAAGTTGTTTTAGATATGAATGAATTGAGTATAAATAGTAATATTCAAACATAAAAAGTAGTTAACATTCAAAAAAAAAATAGTAACATTGAAAACAAAAAATAGAAACATATTAACATTTGGGTAAAATAAAACAAAAAATAGTAACATTCAATATTAACATTACATGCAATATTGACAATAGCATGCTCAACAAAAAAAAAAAATAGTAATATGGTCAACAAAAAGAGTAGTAACATGAAACATTGAACAAAATTAAGGATCAACCAGTAGCACAATGAGCAACTTTAAGCAACACGCATGAACACCTAATGATGCATATGAGAGAAAACAGTAACATGCTCACCAAAAAAGTAGTAACATGGAATATTGAATAAAATTGGGAGTCAAACCTGTAACACACTAAACATTTTTTCAGCAACATGGGTAGCTCATGATGCATTCAAACCAAAAAATAGTAACATAAAAAACAATCACATTACAATCACTGAGTTATAAAAGGAGAAAACAGAACAACCAGAGAATTTATGGCAACAAGACCAAGCTCAATTTTGCTCCAACACCATCACTAGCCAAAAAAAAAAGGTGTCAGGAGTATGTAATTACTTTTGAGGTGCCAAATGGACTTTAAACATTGGACATTTGGCCAATGTGTCTTTTTTAGAACTTATTTGACTTTAAGTACCACAATCCGACTTATACTCTCTTAAGTCCTCTTTTTTGTCAAATTATTGTCATTAAGTACACATTTCAAAATTTTTTTGTATTACCTAATTACCCCTGCCATAAATACTGCCTATCATTGTTAGTTTCAATGTTTTCAAATCTAAAAACTTCTAACTTGGGAATTGTGCTAGCATTAAAATTATTTTTCTATCATATATATATAGTAACATGCTCAATAAAAAAAAAAACTTAATTACTATCAAGAACAAACATGCAATAGAGTGATACCATATGTGAGTACTTAAAACTATTGTTTTGCCCACAACAAAATAAGTACTCACTCTATGGTCTCTCTCTATTGCAAAGATTAAATTTTTAATTAAGTTTTTTACTAAGCATGATATTGTTTGATATTATTATTTTT